TTTGCAATAACCTAGTGCTTGACACTAACCCCGTATGTAAGGAGGGTTGGAGGATCATGGTTTGTGCATCCAAAACTCCCACCATTATTTCCCAAATTATTTGGAATGCATTCACGTTTCCAATCTCATTACATGATCAGGTGTTTTTTCCTGTTTTAAGGACTGCCAGTTCTTTAAGGACCTCCTGCTAACCGATCATTTAAATGTACACGTATATTTCTTAGATTATACAATATAGACAGAAGCACAAAAATATAGGATTTCAAAAAGACTTTGCCATAATCTACACTTATTGTTTTAGTCAAAAACTTGAAGAAACAGTCTCCATCATTCATTTAAGATTCTAAGGGGGCTGGACATGTTTGACACTGATAGGTTGATTCTGCTGGCTCAGGAATCTAGAACATGAAGGCACAGTCAAGGTAAGGGAAGATTATTTGAATTGAGATGGGCAGGAGCATAGTTTAAAGGTCTCCTGGAGCACATGTTTGATAAATGACATGTTCAATGGGTTCACCCTGCCATTGCCTTGCCATTCATCTGTGAGCTGTCACTGATAAATTGGTGGGTGGGGAAGGATCAGCCAGCCTGTCCACCTTTGGACTTATTGAGGCCTTTAGCTAACTGCCACTTTTAAGGCAGGCAATGGAAGGCTGAGAAAAGTGACCAGCCTGCTTTGGTGAAATGGCAGAAACACGAGTTATTTCCCTTGGGATATGCCCTTGTGCACTAGGGACACCGCACCCTAAACACAAGATACCCCATTTGTGATTTCCTCAGCCTCCAAACCACCCCCACCCCTCAATTATGTCCCCAGTCCCTTCCCACCTAAAATGTCCATACTTACCTTAGTATGATATTGATTATATCTTCATTTCAGGAGCCCATCCTAGTCACAGCATCAGCCACTACTGTATTTGATTGCTGTTGGGACTACTCAACTGCTGGCCAATCAGATTGAATTGAATTAGCTTTATTGTCAGGGAAATAACTGCACAGAGACCAGCATGCTATCACCAAGTCACCCTTTATTCACGTGTGCACAGTACATGGGTTCTGACTCGCTCACAGCCATTCCCTAGAATGAGGAGACTCCCTGAATCTCCTGATTTTCTTTTGCTGAAATAATTCCAAGGAGGCAGGTATCTTATCACCAAGTCACCCTTTATTTACATATGCTTAGTACATGAGCTCTGACCAGCCAGCACAGAGCCCATCCCTAGAGTGAGGAGAATCCTTGAAATTCCTCTTTATATCTGTCAGCCAGGGCTTCCTGATTGGCCCAGGTTAACAACCTCAATCAAGGATCTCATAATCAATGACATCCTCATTCCAATCACTACAATCACATTGTCCAGTAGCTCCAGAGGGCAGGATGAAATGCCCTTGTGGGGCAGAATCCCACACTTATCTTGTTAAAGCCATCCCAGCAATTTTATCACATGGTAAAAACAAAATCCCGCAGATGTCAGAAATCTGAAATTTAAAAAAAGCAGTTCTGGAGAAATTTAGCAGGTCTCGCAGCATCTGTGGCGAGAAAAAAACAGAATTAATATTTTGAGTCTAGTATGACTCTAATGCAGAATTCCAGTTGTATTTTCCTGCCCACTCCCCTTGTTTCCCTGACAGAGCAAACATCTGTCCACCCCAGCCTTAAAATATGTTCAACACAGTTGAGATACACAATAAAAGATATTGATAATCCTTTGCGTGAAGAAATTTCCCCTTCGGCTGATTTTTACTGGGAGGCTTTTCTTCCTGTTCTTCTCTCCTACCTTGCAGATTTGAGTTTAGCATTAATTGCAATCATTTTATATATGGTGAAAAATGTGGCAGTGGGTGGTGAAAATTGTTGCTGGCAATTAATCATCATTTTCTCTGCATGAACATGCTTCCTGAAATGTTCATGACTGAATGTTTGATGCTCTGTGTTTCATCAAATTCCTGGTGAATCTTTTTGAAAAATGAATGCATACCAATGTTTCCATCTCAGCATATTAACAACTGAAATCATTATGGATAACGGCCTTTGGTAAAAGATGCTGAAGCCAAAGAATTATCAGTTGTAAGAGACAGCATGCTATCATCCCAGTGCAGCTTAGTCACATATTGGCCAATATTGTTTTACTTCTAACACCCACATTTTAACAAATTATGGATTATAAATGTATGTAGTTGACCTAGGATTGCATTGCAAGCAGAAGAAAAAAAAATAGGACACATTTCTAGGCAGTTGTAGGTGAGTCACTCAAATCCCTTGAGCAATACAGCCCACTTACACATAGTGATTTTACCGTATGATCATAAGCATGAGTTCACGATGCTCCAAAGCTTGAGCTACAAAATTTCTAAATATTTGAAAAGTGGGATCAGAAATAGTGAGTTTGAATGTTTGCATTTCCCAATTGATAGCATGATTTGCCAGAATTTCATTTCCTCCTCACTCTCAAAGTAAGTGCTGTTGTGTTAAAATCTTTCCCACAGCAGACAGTGTAGGTTCTCATTTCTTTACCTGTGGCACAGTAAATAATGCTCAATTAAAATTCCTTACCTGTAGTGAATGAGGAGTGTATGATTTAAGTTCCATACCTGTGGATGTGGTTTTCATTTTCCTTACATGTATCACATTAAAGGATGTTTCATTTTCTCATTATACACCATTTTGAGGGGCACTCAAAATGACTTCCCTCCCTCACAGTGAAAAGGTATTGGCTTTAATTTCCTTACCTACCTGTTCATAAAAGGTATTGGTTTTCTTCTTCTTACTTGTCCCACAGTGAGGAAGACTGACTTATACTTATTTACATGCCTCATTGTGAGAAACATATCAATTTTTTGCCTGCATCAGGGAGAAGAGTTAGATTTCTTTCCTGTCCCAGTTAATGGAGTTCAGTATTATTTTCTTAATTGGCCGGCAATAACATGTGTGTGCTTCATTTCCCTATTTTCCCAAAGTGCTAGATATTGAGTTAAATTTCATCAATTGTTTCACTGTGAATGAAATAAAAACAAAAAATTCTGGAAATATTCACAGGTCAGGCAGCATCTGTGAGGTGGGAACTAGAGTTAATGATTCATGTTTTTAACCTTCATCAGAATTGGGCAAAATTAGAAAGTTGAAAGGTGTTAAGCAAGTGATAGGATGTGGAGGTGAAAAAGAGGAGAAAATGGAAGTTCTGAGGTAGGTGAGAAGACAGGAGAGATTAAATGACAAGGATTAGTGGTTCAAGCCATAGGGAGCAGTATTGGGTCAGATAAAAGGTCAAAAGTGTCAAGAGAAGATGTGATTGGCAGGATGGTAAACAATTGCAATCTGAAAGCAAAACAAAAGGGAAAATGAAGGTAATAACAAAACCTGCAATTAACAGGAAACAGAATAAGGGCAGGGACTTTGATTTGAAATTGTTAAACTCAATGTCGAGTCTGGAAGGCTCAAAACACCAAAAGATGAAATGCTGTTATGCAAGATCGTGTTGAACTTTATTGGAGCTCTTCTTCGGTTGGAGTGGGGTCATGGGCTTTGATTTGCTATGGGGGATGTAGTATTAACTTTAGTTACCTGTGCAGCATAAGTGGGGATTGACTACTCTTGGAGATGGATCTCCTGGGTTTTGATTAACTGTGGGGTGGACCTATTGGGGTTTGAAATCTTAGGTGTGGGGAGCATATGGGTTTGATTACACACAGAGAAGGATATTGGGGTGTGATTATGTATGCAAGCAAATTGGGGTTTGGTTACCTGCAGAAGGGGAATTTGGGTTTTGATACATTTTGGAGATAATTCAAGTTTGAGGGTACAGAAAATCAGAGACACCTTTATGTGCGTGTCCATAGATCCTTGAAAGCAGGTGGGCAGTTAGATAAGTTGATTAAGAAGGCGTAAGGGATATTTGCCTTTGTTAGTCAAGGTATTGAATAAATGAGCAAAGAGTTATGATGGACCTGTATATAACATTAGTTAGGCCATGGCCGTGTGCAGTAATGATCGCCATATGTAGGGGCTTTTGTACTGCCATGATAATTTCTGTACCCTGGGCCAGGAGGCCTGGGTTCAAGTACCATATGGCCCAGAGGTGTGTTATAACATCTCTTTATAGGTTGATCAGGAAAATATCTATAGAAAGAATGTGCGGGCTGTCATGGTGCAGTGGTAATGCCCCTGCCGCTGGGCCAGGAGGCCTCAGTTCAGGTCCTGTCTGCTCCAGAGATATATCATACCTTTCAACAGGTACATATGAAGAATGTGATTACACTAAAGAAGGTGCAGAAGAGATGCATGAGGCTGTTGCCTAAGTTGGTGCAATTCAGTTATGGAGAGAGACTAGATAGGCTTTGGTTGTTTTCCTTGGAGCAGAGAAAGCGAGGGTGGGAGTGGGGGTCAAATCTGCCTGAGGTGTACAAAGTTCTGAGGAGGACAAATAGGTAAAAACCTTTCCCCTTAGTAGAGAGCTGAATAGTGAGGGGGCACAGTTTTAAGATAAGGAGCAGGAGATTTAGAGCGGATTTGAAGAAAAGCACCCGAGAATTGTTGGTATCTGGAGGTCACTGCTTAAAAGGATAGTCAGGGTGGAAACCTTTAAGACATTTAAGAACACTTGAAATACCATGCATACAGGGCTTTGGCCCAAGTGCTGAAAAGTGGGATAGGAACAGATGTGCTGTAGACACAATGGGGCGAAGGGCTTCTTTCCAAGCTGAAAACCTCTATGATTCTCTGTTCTGCAGAAGAGAGTATTGGGTTTGATTACCTGAGTAGAGAGTATGTGGATTAATTATCGTTAGAGGAGGTGTTGGGGTTTAATTATCTTTTGGGGTGGGAGGTGTCGCTTTGGTTTTATAACCTATGGTAAGTGGGGGGGGGGTAATTTGGGCACCGTTATGGAGGCGGGGGAATGATATAATTGAGATTTGATTACCCATGGGTCTGGGTAATAGCGGTTTGATTACCAGTTGGGGGGGGGGGGCGTAATTCGGGCTCGAGCTCCGACCTCGCGCTTCTAACGGTCGCTCAATCCGCGCGCCGTCCCGGGGGAGAAGCTCCTTCGGTCTTGGCTGAGCGGGAAAACGAGAGTGAAGCAGCCGCCATGAATTGGGTTGGAGGGGTTCGGTGAGTGGCCGATGGCAGCTCCAGCGTTTGAAAGTGTGGACACGGGGAATCGTGGGAATGGAGGACTAAGGAGTAGGAGGGCAAAGAAATGTACAGGATAGGATAAATGGGTAGAAGCGAGGGAATGGGGGGTGGGGAATGAGGGCAAGTGGAAGTGTGGTGCAGCTGGTAAATGAAGGGATAGTGTGAAGGAAGAGTTAGTGTGGGAACGATGAATGAGTGTGAATGTGGGGGAAAAGAAGGAAGTGAGGAGCTGAGGAGGGAAGGAGACTGGAACGAAGATATTGGTAAATGGAGAGAGAGAGGAGCGAGGAAATCGGGCAGTTAAGGGGAAAGAGTGAGGAAGTGAGCAATGAACATGAGAGTGGGGAGAGAGGTGATCGAGGGAGAAGAAAATTGGGGGAGAATGAGTGGGTAGGAGTATAGGAACAGAGTGGCTATTGGGGAGATGGAGCGGGGATTGAAAATGGAAGAACTGAAGAATCAGATAGGGGAATGATGGAGTGGGGAGGAGAATGGGTGTGTGGAGAATAGTGAGGGGGTGTGAAATGAGTGTGTGAAGCGAGGGCTGTTAGAAGGATAAAAAAAAAGGAGGAAATGTAATTGGAGGGGAATGGAATGGGGGAGGAGATTGAAGCAAAAGGATGGTGAAGGAGAGGGGATGAAGACAGAGGAGAAATGGGGAGGATGAAAAGGGATAGATAAGGGAAGACAGTGGGCAAGTTGGTGAAAGGAGGTAGTGCAACATCGAGAGTAAGCAATGGGTGGATTCTCGAAGGAAGAATAGAAAGAGGAGGGAGGAATGAATGATGAAGGGAGAAAAAGCTCAGGACAAAAGGGAGGCGGCGGGTTAGGCAAACGGGATAATAGTTGCAGGAGGTTTGAAGGGAAGGAAGGAAAACAATGGATAGACTGGAGAGAAGCAAGGTCCAGGAGGAAAGAGACAAGTGTTTGAGAACGTGAAAGGAACTGAGGTGGAAGGTGAGAGAGAGAAAAGGATGGGTGGAAAGCCGAAAAGATGGAGGGAGAAGGAACGGAAGAAGGAGGATAGTGAAGGATATGTGAGAATAAGGGAGCAAATAAAGGAAAATTGTGAGACAGAAAGAAGGATGGAGAATGTTGAAGGGTAGGTGCAGTGTGAAGAAGGTTGAGGAAACTTATTAGAGACAGGGAGGGATGAAACAGGGAGAAAAAGAATGAACAGCAGCAGCGAATGCACTTTCTCTGGCCTGTTCTACCAGTCAATGAGACCATGACAGATCTGAAATCTAACTCTATATGCATACATTTGCCCTCTATCCCTTAATACCATTCATTAGCAAAAAAATCTATCAATCTCAGACTTTGTTTACAATTGATCAGGTATAAAGTATTGGATAGACACCGTCACTTCCATTAAATAACGCCTAATGAGTGAGGTTAGATGTTGTGTTTCTACCTTCTATCTTATTGGGAGCTCTGGCTTCTCATAGAGTTGGAAGAAAAATCTGTTAGAATGCTTACTTGAAAAATATCACTTTAGTTTGAACTGACATGAAATTGTGTTTAATGATTCAATGCTTACCCAACTGATTTAAGAGCATGTCAGTTAGCAGAAAAGGAGTGTTGGAAAAAGATGGTTCTAGGCCTTTGGCTGAGTGTGAGGATTCTGCTTTCCTAATTCCCCCACACTCCCTCGGCTCTCAATCTTAAGGGTATGAAATTTACAGTCCTTCCTCTCTCCCACAGAAACTTATTTCCTGCTGCTCTATTCTGTAACCAGAGAATTGATGTAGAGATATTGGAAGTTTGAAGAACAGGGAAAATAACGTACAGTTGCCTCCCTGTTTTTAAGGTCAGGATTTTCTGTTGGCATCCCTGACACTGGGAGTGATGAAAATTGCTGAAATCCAGACTGGAAGCTTTTCTTCCTGGAGTTGGTTTCCTAAGTGGCCACCTCAATCTCGCCATCCAGCTCAGATAGTTTATGGCTCCCAATGCTATTGATCCAATCTCAGGGCGAGTAAGTTATTTTATGGTGAAAGGCATTTCATCTGACAACTACCTGTGAGTACTTATCAATGGTCAATGGATAGCAAGAGCAAAATTTATAGTCCTTTTTTTTCCTTCCTCATCCCTTACTTGGGAGTAGAGAAGCCTGAAATTTGAGTTTAACTGCCAGTGAGGTATGCTTTGCCCAACACAATATTAAGGATTGTTCCAGGAAAGAGCGAACCAACTTTCAATTTGTTCCAGTTGTTAAGTTTTCTTTAAGTTGCGTGCTGTTCTGAGGTCATATAATGGACTCTTCTATATCTCAGATTTAATGTAATTGACTATTAGGTGCTATGTAACAAACTTTTTGTTTATCAAGACTGAGCCCACCTTCTGCTAAAGACATCATGTGGGAATCCTTCCCCACTTGGTATCAATAACTTGGACTAAAACTAATAAAAAGGATTGATAGCAGTAAATGTATCCATGGCATTACAGATGGTTACGGTGCTTAGCATTTCAGGGTGATTATGGTAGGCACAACCACAGCACATAGCATGGTGGAGTGTTGGTATCTGACAATACAGTGCTGGCCAACATGCATCCCACAACCAGGACTTAAACACATTTGATCAGTAGCTCATTGCCAATTTGGGGAATTGGTTGTATGCAATTCAGCCCCCAAAATTTCCCATATTACAACAATGACTAAACACCAAAAGTATTTAATTGGCTGTAAATTGATTTGTGACTACCTCAGGTCATGAAGTATGCTATTGTAGAAATGTATGAGCATCTTTTGCTGTCACAGATTAGAGTTCAGAACTTGGACCTTTCTGATCTGGCCTGCTCAGTAACATACCATGGAAGCCCTTAGATTTCCAGCCTCTAAAATAATCCTAAGGAAAATACATATTGTTAAAGTTATATTATTTCACAGTTCATCCAGCTCTAACCCTTGTTATCTCAGATTTTCCAGCATCTGCAGTTCCTACTATCTCTTCACTAATTTTTTTTTTGCTAGTAGAGTATGAGTTCCTATTCATGGCTGAAATACTTAATTCATTAAAAAATTGACCAGAAGCAATTTTATATTCTTATTTTATCACAGAAATAGAATCAAGCTGAAACAACAGAAAAAGCAACAAAAGGTAAGAGTCAGTGGATTTTAAGGAGAGGTTACCATTACCAAACACATTAATCAGAAATTGTATGATTCAGCAATATGTAGGTGTGGCACTGAAATATCCCCTGAACTGTGGGGAACTTTGCTTTTGATCAGTAGATAACTACAGCCTATGTGTTTCCTTATCTAACTAGTGCAGGCTTATTCCCTGTTAAGCAAAGGCAAACATTAGGAGTTTAATTTCTGCTTGACCAGACTTTACATTGAATCTACAAGCAATTCATTGGCTCAGTGACTTCAAGTTTTTCTAGTGACAAGATAGCTCAGTATTCTATTGTTAACAGCTTTAAAACTACTCTTCTTTTTCTTTGCAGCCCATGTCTCGTCTTTGTGGAACTTGTATCCTTTTTGCAAATTCTGATCTTCTTTGCATTTCCTTGATCCACTTTATTCCTCGGGCCCCCACACCCATCTTCCACCAAAAAGGCCTGGCAACCTCATTCTCCCAACCTTGCTTCTAGTCCTAACTATGCAACTCTCCACTTGCAGCATCTGGCCCCATTACATCCAGCCTAGATGATTGTTTCCTTGCCTTGGAGGCCCCATTCACTAGGCTTTGGCAGCAATGTTTAATATGAGCATATTAGCAGCAAACACATGAGAGTACCAGCGTTCAATTGCAGGAATAACTCTTCTGAGATTCTAATAGTTCAACTATAGAAGGCAATTTTATTCAGCTTGGTTGCCTTGTCTTTGAATGTTACTGATGTTTTGGGAATTTCAGGGACAAATTCACCGTCCTTGATGTACTTTGTGTATTGCTATAAGCATTCTTTGACACATTTAAGAGCATAGATTATGATTAAAGTGTTTTGAATGGTTATTTGATTATTTTGAATGATTTATGAACATTTACAAGGAATGTATTTTTGTCAAGTGGAGATTGAATGGTTGTGTGTGTGATTGACAGTTTTACAAAATTCCAACAAAAGTAAAAATTCAAGGGGAGTTTGAATGCATGAATGATTTATTTATTTATATCATGAACACTTCAGTGATGTCCCAGTGTCATTAAAGCCTTCTAAGGTCTGTCCATAGTAGATACTGGATGAGTGGTTCTGGAATGGTACACCAACTTTCTTTGGTCAATTTATCTTTTAAGTGTTCATTGTGTGCTTTTGGAAACTCAAATGAGAGTGCCCATTAATATTCCAGGGCTGTCAGCAAACTGTCCAACTTGACGGGTTTAGATAGACATGGGCTAAATACTGGCAAATGGGACTATATAAATTTAGGAAATTTGGTCAGCATGGACCAGTTGGATCAAAGGGTCTGTTTCTGTACTCTACATCTCTATGACTACACTGGTGCCATAACCAAAATATGTAATTTGTGTTTCTTTTTCTGGATGATGCCATGTGACCATCTTATAATGACGTTCACTTGCAACAACTTGTAGGTTAGTTCTGCCAGGCTTGCAAGTTGTGTGTTTGGATTGACAGTGTCAGGATGACCAAACTTATGGTTCAGGAGTAGAACTTCCATCCTCCCCTAACATTACCAACTTCACACTGGGGGTCATTAATAACAGTGGTATACTTTGGATCAATAATTATCAGCAACCTGACCCTTGAAGCTGAAATTACCAGGATTGCAAAGGCCACAGCTGTCGTATCAACACTTATCAACTTTGATCAACAGCAAACTAACCAAAAATACAAAGCTCCACGTGTACCAGGATTGTGCTCTCTGCAATTGCCTTTCCAGTACTGAAGCATGGACAATTTATGCAAGCCAAGAAAAGCAGCTGAACAGCTTCCACCTCTTCAGTCTCAGATGAAGGTAGAACAACTCCTGACAAGATGGCTGAATATGGACCAGTGGTCAGGGACTTTTTTGCCCTCCTGAGTGAGTGTTGGCTCAGTTGACTGAGTCATATGATCTAAATGGATGATGGGCCTCTTTCTAAAGTCATGTTCTATGGTGAGCTTGCTACTGGCATGAGATCAACAGGTCAGTACAAGGATGTCTATTGACAATAACTCAGTGACCAGGACTGGAGTCCCTGGGGTGAAACTAAGGTGTGCATGACTTTGTTCTGAACTCATGAGCACGACATCGGAAAGTTGCTGAACATGTGATCCCTGAGTTCATGTTGGAAATCCAGCCCACCTCCTGACAGTGCATCATACACCTCATTGCGTTAAAATCACTTTGAGATATTAAGGTTTCAAAAGGTATAAATGTGCCAATGTTTATGAATCTACATTATACCTTGGTACTGGTGCCGCCTTAAGCATGAAAGGAACAAACTGTAATCATGAGAGGGTATAACCTATAGAACTTGTAAGACTTTGTAGCAACCACTATTTGGACCCCGTACAAGATGGTCAGGAAAATTGTGTTTTGTCTCCTTGCCTGATTCTTTGCATGATACATTCTTCTTTATAGAGTACTAGATGGTGTATGCTTAAACTTCCACTCCACCTTCCACAGTGAATAGTACACTGAATTGCACCGTAATCTTCTCAGCCACTAAATGTACTAACTACTAAATGTAGTTAGAAGTCTTTCAAAGAATATGGAACAAAATATTGAAGTCACACACTAATAACTGCTTTGTTTCCAAATTGCTATTGTGATTGTGGTAGTTTGATTTGAAAAGAAAAATGAAGTGAAAAAGTGTGAAAATGAATGCATACATAGTAATGAGAAAAGAGACATGCTAGAAAAGCAAGAAAGAAGAAATTATGGAGGATAAGATAGGCACAGGTAAGTGTGAAAGAAAGAGAAATAGAGAAGGAGCAAAGAATATGGACTGAAGAATGGAGAAACATAAAAGAATTGCATTTATATACCATCTAAATAACATGTTGAAAAATTTTTACAACTATGGATTGCTTGGGAGTGAATAACAAATAAATAAATTGCCACATCTTTTTGTTGCATTGATTAAGGGAACAATTTTGGACAAGCAGAAATGACCGTGCTTCATACACATTTTGGAATAGTGCTATAGGATCTCTTACATCTATCTAACCTAATTGTCAAGGTCTTGGTTTAATATCTTATTTGAAATATGATTCATCTGATAATGCAGTATTCTTTTCTTATTTTTGATCTGAAGTGTATGATTATATGCTGAGACACCTGACCTCTATCACTGGAAGATTCCGTGCAGCGTTCACATATGAACACAACCATCTCCATGAGCCCCTCACATTCCTCACCATACTGATTTGGAAATGTATCACATTCATTCAACATCCTGGAACCCCTTCCCTAACACAAACAGAAATTGCTGGAAAATCTCAGCAGGTTGTCAACATCTGTTGGAAATCAGAGTTAACATTTTGGGTCCAGTGACCCGAATTCAGAATGGGTTTTTTCCCCTCCCTAATGACACTGAGAAAGAAGCTTTATCCTATGGAATGCTTTTCAAGAAGGCAGCTGACCCATCACCTTTATGAAAGGTAATTAGGATAAAGCAACAAATACTGGTCTTACCAGTGATAACCATACCCAATTAATCAATTCAAAGAAAATGAAAAGCCTGTAAAGAGGTTTTAACTCTCATCTTTCTGATTCAGAGGCAACAGTAGTACAAAGGAAGTTGACACATGGCACATTGAAGAAGAGACAAGCAGGCAGGGGTACCAAAAAATGGTAATTTTGTTTTATTCATTCATAGGACGAGGGCATCGCTGGCCAGGCAACATTTATCACCCATCCCTAATTGTTTTCATGTTCATCATTAAACTCTTAATTCCAGATATTTATTGAATTCAAATTCCACCACCTGCTGTGGTAGGATTCAAACTTTGGTCCCCTGAACAATATCTGAGTCTCTGGATTGACAGTCCAGTGATAGTACAGCTAGGCCATTGCCTCCCCCTTTTTATTGTAACAGAACCAGTAGTGTATGGTCCATGTTTCTGTTCTGCAAGAAAAAAATATTGAAATAGAAATACATTGTCTTCTAAAATCATGTGTGGTCCTGAAATGACTATATTACAGAAGGAGGAGGCGATATTCAAGCATAGCTTAAATTACTAAAGAAACCAAACCAGCAACAGGTGTTCATAAATATGCCCTTTTTGTCTCTGCATTTATGTTGATACTTGCTAATTAATGAGTAAACAAATTTTTGTATCGTCATATGACAAATTGGTCAAATTTAATTTACAGTTGTGATTCGTCCAATAACTGTGAGGCAAAGTCTGGTTGTCATCATCGGCAGTCCCTTGCAGATAAGGATGACTCTCTTCCACCTTCAGGGTGAGTCTGTAGGTGGCTGTACAGACTGATATGGCTATCACATGCTCTGTTATCACTTGGGCCAGATGGTGGTCACGGGAAAGGGTGAGTGGTGCGGCGGGGTGCTCCTTTTGCTGTTTCACCTGGCTTCCATTTTTTCCCAATGGCAAGTCTCAAGATGCTCAATGTCTTCCTGGATGCACCTCCTCTACTTTGGATGGTCTTGGGCCAATGATTCCCAGGTGTCCGTGGGAATGTCGCACTTCGCCAGTGAGGCCTTGAGAGTATCATGAATCCCTGTCTCTGTCCACCTGGGGCTCACCTGCCGTTTCTAAGCTGGGACTAGAGCACCTGCTTGGAGAGTCGCGTGTTTGTCATACAGACGACGTGCCCAGCGCATTGTGGCCAGTCAAGGGTGGTCAGTGCCTCAATAGTGAGGATGTTGGCCTGGTTGAGCACACTGATGTTGGTATGTCTTTCTTCTCAGCAGATTCGCAGGATCTTGCGTAGGTAGTGTTGGTACTGCTCCATTGCCTTGAGGTGTCTGCTGTAGACAGTCGACGTATCAGAGCCATACAGGATGGCAGGAACCACCTCAACTCTCCATACCATGAATTTGGTGTCACATCTGATGTTGGGTCAAACACATTTTTTTCGTCAGGTGGCTAAAGGCTGCAGTAGCACACTGAAGGAAATGCTGGATCTCTTCATCAGTAGCTGCTTTGGCTGACAGGACATTTCTGAGATATTGGAAGTGGTCAATGTTCTCTAAGGCCTCCCTGTCGACCTTGATGATCGGGGGTTTGCTCCACAATGGCAGACCAGGTTGATGAAGAACCTTTGTCTTGCATAGGGAGGCATGCTCTCATATGCCTCCGTAAAGGTGCTGATGATTTTCTGGAGTATGTCTTCAGAGATCGAGCATACGCAAGCATCATCTGCGTACTACAGCTCGATGATCCTGGAAGGGGTGACTATGGTTTTAGCTTGAAGCTGGCAGAGATTGAATAATTTTCCACACGTTCTGTAAATTAGCTCCACTCAGCGGTGAGGTGAAGCATTACAGCGAGGTAGATTGAGAAAAATGTTGGGGCGATGACGCAACCCTGCTTGACTCTGGTATGAATGGGGAATGGATCGGTGGTGGAGCCATTTGTCATTACCATGATTTCCATATCATCATGGAGTAGGTGAAGGATGGTGACAAACTTCATGGTGTACCAAAGCAGAAAAGGATGCTCCATAATGCTTCCTGATTGGTGTCAAAGGCCTTTGTAAGGTCAAAGAAGGCCGTGTACAGGGGTAGGTTCTTTTCTCTGCATTTCTCCTGAAACTGTCACGCATTGAAAATCATGTCTCTTGTGCCCTTCTGTGGCCAAAAACTACACTGCGACTCTGGGAGGAGTTCCTTAGCCACAGGGAGGAGGTGGTTGAGGAGTACCTTGGTGTTGACTTTTTCAATGGTCAACAGCAGGCACATTCTCCTGTAGTTACCACAGTCAGACTTGTTCCCTTTTTAGAAATACTCATGACTATGGAATCTCAGAATTGTCCTGGGATGTCCTCCTCCTTCTAGATAAGGCAGACAAGGGTGTGTAGCTGCAGCAGGAGCTCTTTGCCTCCACACTTCAAAGCCTTAGCAGGGATACCAACTGCTCAAGCAGCCTTGTTATTTTTAAGATGATGGACAGCCTTGTGTATTTTGTGCAAAGGTGGGCTGTTGCTGAGCTCATGGCATGTGGGATGCATTCAAGAACGTTCGGACCAACGATAGAGCCCTGATTGACAAGGTCTGTGACGTACTCCCCCCCCCCCTCCCCCACGAAACAGTGTTTTTTAATGGCTTCTTTATCTTTTGATAAGAGTCACTCTGTCCTTGGCCTGAAGTGGTGTGGGAATTTGGTATTTGATCGTATGTGGTCTTGACAGCACAGAAGAAAAGCGGCCATTCGTTGGGCCTCTAGTACTTTCTCCGCCCAACACCTGTTCTTTATGTTACGGGTTTGCTTTTGTACCTCTGCTTTCAGTCGCCTGTAGGCCTGCCTTTTCTCTTCTGAGTGCAATTGTTGTTTTACATTCAAGATTAATAGTTCCTGGATCTCATGATCATGCTCATCAAACCAGTCTTGGTGTTTCCTGGTTGAGTGGCTGACCTGAGTTTTAACAGGCATTGATGATTGCAGTCTTAAGCAGGGATCAGAGACTGTTTGGATCCTGTGACTTAGTGTCGCCAAGGGACATTAGGTTTGTGAGAGGAGTTGGTCGTATGAGGCTATACAAAGTCCAGTAGCATTGCACATTGCAACTACATCCATAATAGTCATACTGTATTATCTGGATTTATGTTATTAACTATATTCCTTATTGCAAGAAACGGTTTTGTGATACTTTAAGCTTCAAAACTTTAATAACTGTTCACGGATTGAAAGAATCAGCAATAACTCTTTCTGGAATAAACTGTTTCCTGAAATGAAAAGGACAAGGAGAAACTGTTATAAAGGAGTTAGAATGAACATGCTTCCCATCTTCAAGAAGAAGGAGCCGAAGCAAAATATTCTGCTTCCTTGGAGAGTTAACACTGAATGTTACAAGGAGCAGAGAAGCTACTCCTGATAAGAAGGCAAACTACAAACTTGATGATTCCAGAAGTGTAATCAATGTTGTGGATGAACCGATCTAAAGGATCATCAATAATGTCACACCTGAAAATTCACAAGATGGAAAATCCTATAAGAATTAAACTTCAGGATTCTTCATTAGCGGAACCCTAGAGAACCACACTATATAAGGATCTAACCCTTGTCATCCAGAGGCAAATGCTGGAATCGTAGCTAAATTCTACTGTTAATCGGGTAGTAGCTAAGTTGAGTTGTGAGGCTTAACTTGCTCACTTGAGAGGTCTTACTTTTGTTGTAACATGCAATAAAATTTGAGTAATTATTTCTTAAGTAGCTGAATTGAACGTAACTTGTGGTAATTTACACACACAATTTGAACAAATGATTTTCTAGTGGTTTCATTTTCAATACATATAGATCATTTATTTGCATGTAGCAATATCTATAATGTTGTGCGTGACATGTGCAGCGTTGTTATTCACTGTACAAAGCTTACATATAAGTCTGGAAGTTTAAATGCTATTACTGTGCTATTGTATAGGTAGGAACACAATCAAGAAATTAGTTAAACCAGCTAACATTAAAGTCATAAGGTGTAACAAGAGAGAATTAATAATTTGCCCTTGATGTTCAACAACATTACTGTGTTGAACTACTAATATTAATATACTGGGGATGCCAATGACCAGAAATTCACCAGTTCAGCTGTATGAAAACACAGAGCAGGTCATCGACTAGGAAATTTGAGGTGCACAACTCACCCATGTTACCCTAAAATCTGCTCATCTCCAAGGTACGAGATAGTTATGATAGAATACCCTCCAAGTGCCTGACTGAGGGCAGTTTCAACAAAATTTAAGAAGCTCACCATCATCCAGGATAAAATAGCCCACTTGATCAGCACCTGAGCACAACCTTAAGCATATGCTCTCACCTGCGACTCACCAAGGCTTCTTTGACGGTACATTTCAAACATGGAATCTCTACAACCTGTCATGACAAGGATAGAATTATGGAAGTTCTTTGGTTTTTTTTTGCTTCATGGAAATACCATAATTTGCTAATACTTTTTCCAAGCCAGCACCATCCTGACTTGGAATTATATTGCGATTTTTAAATTTATTTTTTTTTAATTATTGTTGTGGGGTCAATAATTGGAATTTGATTTCTTTTCAGCAATGTGGATGTACCTGTATTACATGGTTCACCACCAGCTTGATCTGGGGTTTTAGGGATGGATAATTAAACCAAGAAAAATTTTTTTAAAGGAACTTTTAAGAAAGCCCTTTAAATGTGTTCTGCCAGTCAAAAGAATTGTGGCTGAGGTGTGACTTGGAGTCATAGAGATGTACAACATGAGAAGGAGATGCTTTGGTCCAACTTGTCCATGCTGACCAGGTATCCTGAATCAATCTAGTCCCATTTGCCAGCATTTGGCCCATATTCCTTCCAACACTTCCTATTCATGTACCCATCCAGATGCCTTTTAAATGTTGTAATTGTAGTTCATTACATACACGCACCACCCTCTAAGTGAAAAAGTTGCCCCTCTCACCTTAAACCTATGCCCTTAGCTTTGGGCTCCTCTACCTTGGGGAAAAGACCTTGGCTATTCACACTATCTATGCCCTTCATGATTTTATAAACTTGTATAAACTTCAGCCTCTGATGCTCCAGGGAAAATAGCCCTAGCCTATTCAGCTTCTCCCTAAAGCTCAAACCCTCCAACTCTGGCAACATCCTTGTATATCTTTTCTGAACCCTTTTAAGTTTCACAACATCTTTCATGTAGCATAGAGACCAGAATTGAACACTGTATTCTAAAGGTGGCCTAACCAATATCCTGTACAACCGCAACATGACCTCCTAACTCCCGTACTCAATGCACTGACCAATAAAGGCAAGCATACCAAATGCCTTCTACACTATCCTATTTACCTGTGACTCCACTTCCAAGGACCTATGAACCTGCATTACAAGATCTCTTTGTTCAGCAACTCTCAAGGACCTTACCCTTAAGTGTATTAGTTCTGCCCTGATTTTCTTTTCCAAAATGCAACACCTCACATTTATCTAAATTAAACTCCATGTGCCACTTCTCAGTCCGTCTGATCAAGGTCTAGTTGTTCTCTGAGGTAACCTTCTTCATTGTCCACTACACAATCAATTTTGCTGTCATCTGCAAATCTACTAACCATACATCTTATATTCACATCCATATCATTTATATAAATGACAAAAAGCAGTAGACTCAGCACCGATCCTTGTGGCACACCACTGGTCACAGGCCTCCAGTCTGAAAAGCAACCCTCCACCACCACTGTTTGTCTCCTACCTTCAAGCCAGTTCTGTATCCAAATGGCTAGTTCTCCCTGTATTTCATGTGATCTAACCTTGTTAACCAGTCTACCATGTGGAACCTTGTAGACTTATTTGTATATACTTCCTTCTGCTCATATACCTGCGATTTTAATAAGTCAAAAGTATATAAAGCTCATATTTAAAATTAATAATTGACCTAGAATGAATTCAAGAGTACTCCAAACATCTACTTCTCTATCCAAGTGTTCTTAATTTCACCTTTGAAAGGTTTTTTTAGGATATGCACCCTCATCCTGGGCTCCCATGCTATCTTTTATCTACGCTATCATTTCCCTGTTTTATGTTTAAAATTTTGATCAAGTCAGCACTTAACTTTCTAAATTCCAGGATAAGAAACTGTTCATGTAATTTCATCAGACAACTTTTCAGAACATCATGTTATTGTTTATTCAATAAAACATGCTTTATTGTTAATGTTTGTATTGATGAGTATTTAATATCTTTTAAAGGAGTTTTTTGAGAAGAGGAAACTTAAAACCAAATTTAAACTGTTAGACACACCATTGTCACCTCAACAGAATTCATCTGTTAGCTGGGATCTCCTCACTCTGCACATCGTTAACCGAATAGCTGCAAAGAAGGAACAGATTGGTGAGAAATGTTGATTTTTATTTCCTACAATTGAAAGATATATGTGCAATGAAAAAGATTGACACAGTTAATTTCTTTAAGTTTTTTTGCTGTGTATTTGCAATTTACAGCAATTTGTCACTGATCAATTAAACTTTTATTAAACAAAGTTGAACTTTTCATCTATGCTTATCAGGACTGGGCCTTAAAAACTAAACTTTCGAAAGGAACATTCATTTCTACAGCATGAGAAAAGAAGCTGATTGGTTGGCATCGAGATTTAGCTGGATCTGTTAACTTTCAATCTTTACTGACATGGAGAATGCAGCAGGGATTAGAAGTCTTCATAATCCTTTTCTCAATGTAAAAGGTGAAACGTGTACAAACTCCTTTTCCCAAGACAAACAGGGTACTGTGTGTGAATATATGTGGCTTCCAGAACATTTAAATGAAATGCTATGCGAGCCTGACTGATAATCTTAAATTGTTTTCTGGTGTAATGTTTGGATTATTTAGGAAATGTTGTCCCATAACAAAATCACATCTAGTGCTGGGCATTACACTGTGGGGTTTGCAAGCAGGGTCAAGACCAATTGGCATGGTCAACTTTATCGGTAACCTCATGACTAAAACCTTAGCCACCTGCACACCATGCAAGTCTGATGCCAAGATAAGTGTATCAAATCTATCCTGTGTGATAACATCCACCTTGATCAAATCATCACTCCACACTCTATATTGCACAAAAGGCCATGTGGCACCATGTTTGGTCCGAAAATGTACTTAATCCACCTCATTAGTCTGGAAGGGAGAGATCTCTGAAAAATTTGCACGTGAAAGAGGCTGCCCATCTCAGGCTGCTACTTTGAACATAAGTGATATTCTCAAATAACAGGATTTTGCCATCAAGCTAAAAAGACGTTGCCTACCACACAAATACGTAGTCTATTATATGAGTTTTGGTTTCAGTGTAATGCCAGGCAAGTAAGCTTTAACTGTCAATAGCTGGGCATTTTATATCGATCAAAATGTGTCTTTGACTGTTCGCAGCAGGCAGCATGCCAACTGTCATGAATGAATACCCCCAGTACCTTAATGTTGCAAAAAAAAATTACAGTAACAAACAAGTCAGAAGTTTCAAAAGAATTACTGAACTGCATTTTTGTTTTAAAAATCCAATTGTTTATCACAGTAAATTAAACTTTGAGAAACATGAGTACCACCCCTTTAGTTTTTGATGCCGTTTTTGAATGGGAGAGACATGAGTAATGGAAATGAAAAGTATTTTACTAGGGCAAGATGCATAACAAATTGTTGAGGTGTTGTTTCAGACAAATGTTTGCTAAGTATGAGGAAATAAACAGCAGAATTCAAACTCCCCGCAGTATAGTCAGCCAAAGTACTGACACCGTCTCCTTTTTATAAAGGACAGGGATAGCATTGGGAGAAAGACGAGTATGAGAGGGCTGAAAGGAATGGGATGGGTATGGCAGGAGAGGGATGGCACGAGAAGGGTGGGATGGCACGAGATGGAGTTTTTAACATCTCTTTTTGCAGTATAGGTACTATTTGGACATAGATATTTAGAGGGATTCTGCTAGTTAATTGTGGATTCATGGATTTGCAATGTATTAATACTATCTGTTTTACTTATTTCTATGAGAGGCACCTCAAAAGAATTTAATGTGCTTCAAAAGAATCTTATCAATTATATGCATTGGCATATAATATTTATTTTATCATATATGATCTGCTCAGTGATTGTATTAAGTTTCTTGAGAAACATTTTGGTTATGTAAAACTTTTCATCCTACTTTCCCTTGTGGGGAAGCATTAATAAGTATGCTCAAGGCTAATTCTGCCTTTTGTTTGGTAAAGTGTGAACATAAGAGATAATGAAACAAATATTTAAACAGGGCCGCTCTTGTATGAAGTCCAAAACAGAATGGGGCAAGTAAGATCACAGAAGGGGTTTGAATCTGACGCTTCCTTTTATTGACAGTCACTGAGAATATTAAAAATAACTTTCTCTAACTAAAATCTCCATATTCTAACTTGCTGATGTCAATATTTTTAAAAAATTGTTTCAAGATTCAAAATTATCATTTCTTTGGTCCTGGAAATCTTTTGTTCCCCAGTGCAGTAGTACAAACATGATAAAGAAGGACTTCACAAACTGAAATTGGAGGAGGGAGAAATACAGTTAAAGGGTTGAACAGACTGTAGAATAGGGAATAGAATGGCTGCTGCTGGGAAGGGAATATTGAACTGGAATTGGAAGTGCAATTGGCTCTAATTATGGAAAAGAGGGATGTGATAAGTGGAGTACCAAGGGTACATGGCAGTGAGATAAAAAGGTGTAGAGCTGGATGAACACAGCAAGCCAAGCAGCATCAGAGGAGCAGGAAGGCTGACGTTTCGGGCCTAGACCCTTCTTCAGAAAATTGAAGATGCCAGATGTACATGGCAGTGCCTGGCTGCATCCAGCAGTGCATACTAGCACAATGAAGCCTTAAGTACCAACTCTTTGCTACTTATCATTAATAGCATCTAATCTACAAATTCCGATTCGCTATAACTCCATAAATACTTTTTAACGGTGAATTTCCTTACTGATCAGTTGAATTCTTTGTGTTCACAACAACGATGAGATGATCAATATCTAATGTGACCTGTTTCTTTATCATAGATGGGCCAAACAAAGTCAATCAAGTAAATATGAAGAAGGATACAAAAATGCCAATTAGACAACATAACATTGAGCTACCAATGTCTCCCTGCTCTACACCCTCTCGAATATTCCTAGAAGAAAGTAAATGCAGGTATTTTATTTGTTTTGAAAAAGAACCTAGAAAAGTTGAACATGTTGTATGATAGCATTTAAATGTGTAATAGAGCATCCAGTGCGAAAGTAAATAAAAAGTAATGGTCTGGAATCTCCTTGTTGTCTTCAGTACAAATGCCATTTCTTCGCAGACAATGTATGAAGAAGATGGAGAAATATGCTGTTATTTTGCTAAGTGCATATTTCACTGTATTTTAACAGTGCAGCCCTTGGGTTGGTTAAATCCTGCTATTTGCACAACTGTGCTATTTAGACACATGGAAATTTCCAAAGTGTAAACTCTTTTTCAATTTGTCTTTAAATCTCCCAGAAAAACTATTTAATAGCTTCCTGTACAACCTCAAACAAGTATAATTGAAAAGTTAGTGAATTAAAGGGCATGCCAACTTGACGACCTGAATACAGCATTCTAAGAAACTTTCTTTAACACCTTTAGTCATGGTAGTGGTAAAGTATGGATGATCAATTTTCAGCTTGCATTATCTGGTTTTAACACAACACCTTAATGGTTTTCGAAAAGGAACTGACATAGGCCTAAAATGGCTACAGTAATCACCTGACCATAGATTGTGGCATAGGGATCAATGCTGGGGCCGCAATTACCTGCAATATAAAAATTTTGGATGAGGGTGGTGAATGCATTATAACCATGTTTGCAGATGACATTAAAAATAGGTGGGAGGGCAAGTTATGAGGATGACACAAAGAGTCTACAGAGGGTTACGGACAGGTTAAGTGAGTAGACCAAAACATGGCAGATGGAATATAATGTGGGAAAGTCTGTGGTTATGCACTTTGGCAGGAATAAAATCTGATTATTATTTAAATAAAGAAAGGCTATGGAATGCTACAGCACAGAGAGATTTGTGAATCCTCGTACCTAAATCTCAAAATGTTTGTATATAAGCTAGCAGATACTAGGGAAGACAAATGGAATGAGGTATAACAATAAAAAAACTGTACAAGGCACTAATTAGATCGATGGATACTGTAAACAGTTTTTGTCCCCTTATGTGAGGAAAGATATACTAGCATTGGAGGCAGTCCAGAGGAGGTTTGTTAGGTAGATGATGGGTATGGACTGACTGTCTTATGAGGAGAGGTTGAGTAGGTTTGCCTGTACTCATTGGAGTTTAGAAGAATGAGGAGCAACCTTAATGAAACATACAAGATTCTTGAGGTCTTGACAGGGTAATTACAGAAAGGTTGTTTCGCCTCATGAGAGAGTCTAGGACCAGAGGGTATAACCTCAGAATAAAGAGTTGCTCATTTAAGCAGATGAAAAATTTCTTCTCTGCGGGTAATGAATTTGTGAAATTCTTTATCTGAGAGAGCTGTAAAGGCTTGGCATTAAGTATATTCAAGGCTGAGATGAATTTTTAATCAGTAAGAGAATCAAATGTTATTGAGAAAAGGCAGGACAGTGTAATTGAGGATTATCAGATCAGCCATGATCTCATTACATGGTAGAACAGACTTGATGGGATGAATAATCTACTTCTGCTACTATGTCTTGCGATCTTATGTTCAGGAAACCAATGTGGGATAAGCAAAATCATCTGGTCTGAAACTACCATTTTAACAAAAGACATTAAGACCAGTCAACTAAATTAGGTATCAAGAAACTCGTTTCTCCTGTTTTATTTTATACATGCATGAGATGTTCCACATGTTCGACATGAAAGAGTTTCCTGCAATCTTCAGCGTGGAAAGAGAATTGAGCCAGACTCAGTAAATCATAAATGAACTATGCAGAACGGCAAAGACAGCAAAAGAAAATGAACTGGTAACAGCAAGTACTGGAAGACTTCTGTCAGTGTTTCCTTCTCATCACATCAAAAGCCAGCATTAGTGATAAAATAATTCAAAGAACTTCCATTCACCAAGAACTCAAAAGATTCTACAAAGTTCCCTATGGTTGAGGATACATTGCATCAAGTTATACATACATGGTCTCAGGTTCAACCGTAAATAATATATTCTGTATCTTACAAAACTTTTTTTTGCTTTTAACCCTGTGTGTTTGATATTGTACTTTATTATTTTTCATGGGATTGATAAGAAATAAAATTCCACTTTCTTTCAATTGAGAAAACTGTTTAATTACCTCCTCCATTTTGATCTGGCAAATTATATTTTAGTTGAAGTGTGGCATTGCTGCATGTCGAAACAAATTAAAAATCTTTGCTGCAGTTCACCAAGGCAGGTAAAAAGATGGGTGACAATTCACTCCTCATCTGGTCATAACAAATTTGTGGGCTTGACTAGTAATGTCCCAAAGGACTGAAAAAGAGTGGAGTAATAAACTGTTCCTACAAAGCTGATATTAAAAAGAAAAAAAAATGCAAGCAGGGTTTCTTAGGTTTATAATGTTATGGTGCTAAATGTCAGCATTTATGCCAATATTTTTGTAGATCAGGACAAAATAATTTTTGAAAAGTTAAAGATGTTGTCCTTGGAAAAAATGGAAGGTGTTGCTAAGCAAAAGATTTATTGGTGGAAATTGCTGATACCAAGACTAATAAATTACTATTTGAACAAGTAAGATTAGAAATGGAATTTCTACCAAAAAAGAGGAAAAAAAAATCCAAGAAAGGGAAAAGGGGCAGGAAAGGAAAGAAGGGAGAAATTCCATGAAAAAGAAAGAGAAAGGGAGTTTAAATTGAGACAGCCGAGCTAAGAAGGAAGAATCCCAATGAAAACAACTTTGGTGAGGGACACATAACCTGACTTAGTCTTAGCATTTAAACAGGTAAACTTGAATTCTTGAGTCCTTAAGTTTGATGAAAAGGAGATGGTTGTCTTTATCTAGTTAGCATAGCAGGTAAAGTGGCCAGTCTAACAATGAATATTGCCACTGCAAAGCAGACTTACAGGGAAAGTTCATGAAATTTATTCCCTTTTGCCTTAGAAAATTGCAACTGACTGAGGCAGCAAAGCTATTTCTTTAACTGCATACCAGTTAGTGCCATAGGTCTACTGGCAAAAACCTGCGAGAAGCAGCCTGACCAGACACACCTGGAATTTGAAAGGCTTAAACTACTTGCTTAAGCTACTGGTGTTCTTGTACACGAAACACAACAACAAAATGTCAGTAGGCAGTTGTAGCACATAATTAAGAAGGCAAATCAAATTTTGGCCTTTGGTTTTAGAGGGTTAGAGTTTAAAAACAGTGATATTTTGTTACGATTGTACGTATGTTCATGAGACCACACCTAGAGTACTGTGTACAGTTTTGGTCCCCATATTTAAGAAATTATACATTGGCATTGGAGGCAATTCAAAAGTTTAGAAGGGTATGAGTAGGATGATACCTGGGGTAAAGGGGCCAGCTTATTGAAAATGGCCAAACAGATTAGGTTTTATTCATAAGAGCTTAAAAGAATAAAGGGTGGTCTTAGTGATACGTACAAGATTCTGAGGGGGCTTGACTGGATAGACATGGAGGAGACGTTTCCATTGATTGAGAATCTTGAGTTCGGGGACGTGCTTTGAGAATAACGGACACTCATTTAAAACTGAGATACAAAGGGATTTCTTCTCCAAGAGGGTAGTGAATGTCTCAAACAAAAACAGAAATTGCTGGAAAAACTCAGCAGGTCTGACAATATCTGGGGAGAGAAATCAGCGTTAACATTTTGTGTCCACTGACTCTTCTTTAGAAAGCTCATAATGTTGCCAGACCTGCTGAGTTTTTCTAGCATTTCCTGTTTTTGTTTCTGATTTCCAGCATCTGCAGTACTTTTGCTTTTTTGTTTAATGAATGTCTGGGATTCTCGACGCCAGTGAGTTGTGGAGGCTAGATCTCTGAAAGTATTTAAAGAGGAGGTAGATAGTTTTTTTTTGAACTATTGAGGAGTTGAAGGCTGTGAGGAGCTGGCAGAAAAGAGGAGTTGAGGCCTGGGATGGATTAGTCATAACCTATAGAATGGCAGGCAGGCTTAAGGGACTGAATGTCCTTTTTTCAAACATTTACTCAATATTGAAGTTGGTCAGTATCTACTCAGATACGATTGTTGACAATATCAAAATAACTGCCAGAAATTCTGTCAAAACGGAATGGTTGACCATTCACTGTTTCCAACAGCTAGTGAGAAAATTAAGTGGTAGCCTCGCTTAGAGAATGATCACAGACCTTGCAAGTGGGGAAAATAAAGGGACATAATGGCAGGACAGAGCCAGAGATCAGTTAACAGGTACTTTCATGATAAGTTTCAAAGAGGACCTGAAGAGTTTTCAGGAAGGCCAGGAGAAAGTAAAAGTGAAGCTTCATTTACTGAAAGAACTGTGCAGGTATATAGCAGGATTTGAACCTCCACTTGATGGCAGTAGTGCTCCAGGGCAAGTGGAGCAGTTTAGGGGAAAATCCATGAAGGCAAATGAAAAGAGAACATACCTCACAGCATCGGTGGCGATCACCAGAGGCATGCCAGTGAGTTAAAATAGAATTACCCATTTGGAGTTCAAAGGAACAAAAACAAGCTTCAAAGCTCATCCAGCCCTATCAGGTTGATGTCAAGTTAAATGAGAGGGAGGTCAGGTTACAATCCAGACACCTGACAGAAGGCAAACCTCAGATTATGACTCGCCAATCTCCTAGAGATCGCATTTGTAAAATTTTGGTACATGGATTATAGAAGTGGGTAGTGAAGGGTTAAAACTCAGAGGCAACACAACTCAACAAACAGGTCCATTTGAGTACACAATAGCAATTCTGAATATAGGTTAGGGTAAAGAGAGTGAATATGTGTGCATTGTCTCTGCTTTTTATTGCTAGTTTATATTGACCCTGAAACAAAATACAGCGTAAACACAAGGCCAAAATATTGTTGACATCTGTTTCTTATTGCAGTTATAGAGGACCTTGTGCAGTTTTGATTTCTCTACCTAAGAGAGGATAACTGCCATGGAGGGAGTGCAGAGAATGTTCAGTAGGCTGATACTGGGGATGTTAGGCCAGTTGTTTAAGGAGAGCTT